GGTCGACTCTGAGGATCCCCAAGAAGGCTCGGACCGTCTCGATCGCGCCGTCGGACGGCTCCTTCTCCGCCGCGGGGCCCGGCCGCATCCCGCCCAGGGAGGTCTCAGACGCGCGCTTCAGGCGCTGTTGGATCGACGCCGGCGCGGGGAACGACGGCGGGGAGGAGGTCGCCGGCGCCGCGGCGGTCGCGGTCGCGGTCGCGGTCGCGGTCGCGGCGGCGGCGGCGGCGGCGGCGGCGGCCGGTTTCCCCTTCCCCCCCCCGCGGACGCTCGCGTGGTGATCCGCGAGGACGTCCGCGTACTCGCTCAGGTCGAAGTTCGTCACCGCGTCGAACCCTTTCTGTCGAACCGCCTCGGTGTCGTACGCGACCGCGGCCTCGTCCTCGGTGTCGTACAGACCGAGATACCGATACTTTTTCCCGACGAGCTGCCCGATGCGCGCCTCCCACCGCCCCTTCTGATGCCGCGTCACGCCCCGAAACTTGCTGCTGCCCTTGAGAAACCCTTTACTCTGCCTTCGAAGCGACAACACGAGCTCGTCCTTCTCGATCGCGTCCAGCGCCGCGAGCTCCTGCCGGTAGTTCTCCATGTCGAAGTTCGTCGCCGCGTCGTCGCCGCGGCACTTCACAGCGGCGACGTCGTACGCGAGAGCGGCTTGGTCCTCGGAGTCGAACCCGCCCAGGTACACCTGTTTGCCTGCGCACGCGTCGCGCGGGCGGGCGGGGGGTGGGTCGGGTCAGGTCAGCAGGTCAGCGCGCGCGAGACGACGGAGGGAGGCGTGAGAGAGATAGTCCTTCGGGAAGCGGCGCACAGAACGCGCGCACCGTCTTCCCATATGTGCGCCTCCCATCGCCCGGTGCGGCAGTGGTGCGTGACGCCTCGGAACCGGGACGTGGACCCCGCGCTGCCGCTCTTCGGCCGCTTCGTTTCCCTCCCGGGGAGGCCGTTGATCGACCCGCACGCTCGCCCGCGCTTGTTGGCGTTGGCGTTGTTGGCGTCACAGCCGCGACGCGCCGCCCCGGCCGCGGGCGTCGTCGCGACCTCGAGGCTTCGACGGTCGTCGCGGAACGCCGCCGGCGCCGCCGGCGGCGGCGGCGGCGCGCGGAGGTACGGATCGTAACGCTCGTCGTAATGCTCGTACCGCAACGACGCCCCGCGCGGGATCGGGTGCGCGCTGTACACCATCGTCGACGCGAGGACCGGGATGGAGTCGCCGCCGGGACCGATCCCTCCGCCGCCGCCGCCGAGGCCGGCGGCGTCGTCGTCGAAAAAATAATCGTCGAACGCTCCCCCCGGCGCGCGTCCGCGTCGCTCCTCCTCGAGCATCCCTCGCTCCGCGCGCCCCGCGCTTCCGCGCATCGCGTCGCCGCACAGCGCGGTCTGGCCCGACCCCGCGCTCATCCCGCTGCCGCTCGCGCGCGCGCGCGGCTCGACGCCGCCCTCTTTGAGGCGCGCTCCCGCGCCCTCGCCCGGAGGAGGTGGCGCGAGTTCGGAGAGCTCGCACGCCTCGCCGACGCCTCGAACGAGGACGTCCGCGAACGCCGCGGGGAAGTCGCGATCGTCGACGCCGACGCCGCCGTCGCCGCCGCCGACGCCGCCGCCGACGTTCGCCTCCGCGTACGACATCCGGAAGATCTCGTTCGAGGCGAAGCACGCGAGCGCGTCGTCGAAGTCCGCGGCGGTGACGACCGCGCGCTCCGCCTCGGAGAGCTCGAGCGAGCCGAACGCGGCGGCGTCCTTCGCAGCCGCGGCGACCGCGGCGGCGTCCGCGGCGTCGCGCGCGGCGCGCGCGGCGTCGCCCCTCGACGGCGTCGCGGCGGCGGACGACGGCGCGCGGCGGGACGACTTCGCCATGACGACGCGTACGGCGCGAGGGACGCGGCGAGAGCGAGCGCGGGGCGGGGGGCGGCGCGAGCGAGGCGCGGCGACGCTCGCGCGTCGAACGAGTGTCGTCCGCCTCGAACCATCAAGTTCCCTATTCGGGCGTCGCGCGCGCTTTCGCCTCGTGCGATCGACTCGATCCCGCATCGCGCGTCGAACGCGACGCGATACGGCGGGTTCGACAGACGAACGGGCGCGCGAGGAGCGCGCGGGCGGACGTCCCGAGGCGAGGCGAGTTTCCCGCCGTTTCGTTCAGTAAAAGTTTCTCTCAAAAGACGAGGAGGCGACTTGACGCGCGCGCGGCGGGTGCGGGGAGAAGGAGAAACCGAGGGCACGACGGAGGGGAGCGAAAGACGCGCGCGCGTGCGTTTCTCTCGCGCGAACCGCTTTTACGCTATTACAACAGCTGTGCGGCCGACGCCCCCCAACCAACTCTCGACGAGCCCCGAACGTCCTCACTAGCTTTCCTCGCCCTCGCGACGAAACTCGGGGCTACCTCTTCCTCTCTCCGCTAGATTATTCGCCACGCACCCTCGTCTCGACACCTTAGATGATGCCAATCTTGTTCGCGACGTCGAGGGCGTCGTAGTCCGCCGTCAAGCGCACGTACGCCTTCTTCTCGCCGTCCGGGCGGATGAGCGTGTTGATCTTCGCGGTCGCGATGTCGTACATCCGCTTCACCGCGTCCTTGATCTGCTTCTTGGTGGCGCGCGCGTCGACGACGAACACCAGCGTGTTGTTGTCCTCGATCTTCTTCATCGCGCTCTCCGTCGTCAGCGGGTACTTCAAGATCTGGTACTGGTCCATCTTGCACATGGGCGGGACGGAGATGCGCGGGTACTTGGGCGCGCGCGACTTCTTGAGCGTCTTAGGCCTGAGGAGACGAGGAGGGAAGACGGAGGAACGGCGGGCGGGGTGAGAAAAAGTTTTCGGCGAAACCCTAGAAGGAGGAAAGCCGACGACGACGCCGAGCGACGACGGGCGCCGGGAAGCGAGCGGCGGACGCGCACCTGTGGAAGGTGGGGGAGAAGCGCTTCTTGAGCAGCTTCACCTTGTTACCCCCCTTCTTAACCGCCTTCGCGGCCTTGGCCGCCTTGGCCTTAGCATCCTCTGCGGAGTCGACGGGGGGAGCGATGGGCGCGGGCGCGTCGTCAGTAAAAGAGGCGGACGGAACGATGGATGATGCGTGATTCGCGCGACGGGCACGGCGCCGGGAACCGCGCGCGCGAGCGCCGGCGACGACGCGACGGCGGCGACGACGCGACGACGCGTCGCGTCGCGTCGTCGCGACGCGAGCGCGCGCGCCGACGACGCGCGTCGATCGCGTCGCGTCGCGTCGTCGTCGCCATCGCGCGCCCGCGTCGACGCCCGGCGAGAGAAAAAAGCCGCGCGCGGAGCGCGCGCGGACGACGCCTCGGAGAGGCGCCTCCGCGGTCGCGTCCCGCGCGGCGACGCGCGCGATGCGAGGGAGACGAGTCCGAGGACGCACCCTTAGCCATTTTGCGAGCGGGCACTACGCGAACTCGTGCGAGGCGCGCGTGAAAGAGGGACGATGCCGCGCGTCTCGTGGGGTTTTGCACGCGCGGAGTCCCGGGCAGGGCGAGCGCACTTTCGTACTACGTGTACGCGGTTTTGACCAAATGCTCATACGTTGGCGCGAGCAGCGCGTTTCTCGGTCGGCAATTTTGGTCGCAGACCGACGTTCAAGATGATTGCCCGATTCGAAGCGCGCGCCCGTCGTCGCACTCATCTGGACGCGGTCGCGTCGTGATCGACGTGCGGTCCTCGGACGCGTGCGCATCGCGATGTCGTCCGCGCCTCCGTCGTCGTCGTCGCCGCCGCCGCCGCGGCCGACGTCTCCCGCGAGCGACGGCGGCGACGGAGACGGGTCTCATCGTGACTACTACGTCCGGAGAGGCGACACCGTGTTTGACATCGTCGTCACGCACGCGCTCGACCACGACGAGGTCTTGCGTCTGAACCCCGAGGTCGCGGCGAACGGCGAGAAGATCTCCCAAGGGGACGTCTTGAAGCTCCCGCCGCCGCCGAAGGTGGACGCGTTCTTGCGAGAGCCGAAGCCGGCGACGTTCGAGCCGGGGGCGCGTCACGTCTTCGTGCCCACGTTTCGACCGGAGGAGGGGACGCCTCCGCGGCGATCGCCGCCGCCGCCGCCCGAGCCGGTCGCGGTCGCGCCGCCGCGGTCTCTCGAGCCGTCCGCGCCGGCGGAGATCAGCGCGCCGACGTCGAATCTTCCGTCGTCGTCGTCGTCGTCGTCGTCGTCGTCGTCGCGCGACGACGAAGACAAAGCGGGGGACGATTGGCTCGGCGCGGAACGACGACGCGAGGTGCGCGAGCAGCTCTCGATCGCGCAAGGCCTGGGGAAGATGGTCAGCGACTTCGGCAGGGCGACCGGGAGCACGTTCGTGGAGTCGCTCGAGGACTTAGAGCGCGACACCGCGGGGATGGACAAGCGGAGAGAGCGACCGACGCCGTCGCGAGAGATGACGCGGCGACGCGCGACGACGCCGCCGCCGACGGCGAGGCCGATCGAGCCGACGCCGACGCCGACGCCGACGCCGACGCCGACGCCGCTCGCGCCGCCCGCGGCGGCTCCGGCGCCGTTGCTCGCGCCTGCGCCGGTCGTCGCGCCCGCGCCGCCGCCCGTCGTCGCGCCCGTCGCGCCGCCGCCGACCGCGCCGACCGCGAGGGAAGCCCCGAACGAGGACGACGTCGCGGCGGCGGCCGCGGACGCGGAGCGCGCGAAAGCGCAAGCCGCCGCCGCCGCGCTCGCGGTCGAAAAGGCTGCCGCGGAGAAAGCGTCGAAGCTCCTCGCCGAGGCTGAGCTCGCGGCGTTGCGAAAGGCGAAACTCGCGGAGGAGAAGGCGACCAAGGCGGCGATAGCCGCCGCGGATGAGGTGCGTTCTATACACTGGTCCCCATACGACCGCGTTGGCGTGGTGAACGCCGATCCTTAAGGACTTTGCCCGGCGTTTTTCTCCGCTCACCCCTCGCTTTCAATCCCCGCCATCGGCGCCTTTCAACTCCACCTGACGCCTTTCAACTCCACCCCGACAATCGCTTGTATGGAACGACCCTGAGATCGCGCGCGCGGAGAGAGAGGCGCTGAGAGACGCGAGGAACGCGGAGCGCGCGGAGGCGAAAGCGCGAAAACGCGTGGACGCGATCGCGGCCGCGGAGAAGGCGAGGATGGAGAGAGAGGCGAAGAGCGCGGCGGCGAAAGCGGCGGCGGAGGCGCGACGCGAGAGAGCCGCCGCCGCGAAGGAGGCGGAACGCGTCGAGCGCGAGAGGGCGGCGAAGGAGCGCGCGATGGCGGCCGCGGACCGGTCGAAGAGAGAGCTCGACGCCGCGAAAGCGCGGGAGAAGACCGCGAGGGAGTCGCACGAGAGGGAGAGGAAGCGACGAGAGCGCGAGGCGAACGAGAGAGCGAAGGCGGACGCGAAGGCCAAGAAGAACGCGCCGCGGTCTTCCCCCCGCCCCGCGCCGCCGGCGGCGGCGGCGACGGACAACGCGGCGAAGAAGACGCGCGTTCCCACGTCCGAGCGCGCGCGGCGATTCATCGGCGAGAAGATGAGCGCGCTCGCCGCCGCCGGCGGCGGCGACGACGACGACGACGCGGCGGCGACGAACGCTCAGACCGCCGGGACGGGTAAGAAGGACGTCGTGCGCGAAAACTACTGGTCGTTCCCGGCGGCGAGACCCGAAGACCCGCACCACGGCAGCCGTCGCGCGAGGGAGGAGGAGAAACCGAAATCGAATCCGAAACCGACGACGAAGACGAAGAGGGACTCAACCGTGGACGAGGAGACGACGTCGTTCGTTCGAAAGCTCGTGAACGACGCCGAGCGCGCGGTCCAGGAGCGGAAACGCGAGAAGCGGCCGCGGTGGATGCCGTCGTTATCGTTCGGCTCCGCGGAGTCGTCGACCGCGGAGGCGGACGAGCGGAAGGCGCGGCAGCGCGCCGAGCGCGATGACGCGCGGCTGAAGCGCGAGCGCGAGCGCGACGCGAAGCTGGAGAAGATGAAGGCGAGGACGAGGGAGAGGGAACCCTCGCGGAGGAGCGCGGCGCCGCGGTTCGATCAAGTCACCGGGCGGTCCATCTCGGTGCCGGTCTTCTCCCCCGCGGCGGCGTCGGCGTCGGCGTCGGCGTCGGAGGGCGCGCGAGACCGCGCGCGGTCGCGGGGTTCCTCCTTCGCGGACGCCGCGACGACGAAAGAGCTGTCCGACACCGCGATCATCGCGATGACGGGCGCGGTCATGGCCGCGCCGTTCCTCCTCGCGCGGAGGTCCGAACGCGCGCGCGCGATGATCGACCAAGGGAAGCTGCGCCTTAAACGTCTGCACGACGTCGACGGCGCGAGCGTGCGCGTGAAGTGGCACGGCGCCGACGCGCGTCCCGACGTCGAAGGGCACGAGGACGGCCGCGGCGACGACGAGGCGCTCGCGCGGTGCGCGGACGGGCACAAGGACGGGCACCTGGGCCTCCCCGCGAGGGTCGGGCGGCCGATTTCGTTCGCCGCGCTGCTCCCCGAGGGCGGGTGGGTCGCCACGCGCGCGCGCGCGGCGAGGCGCGCCGCATCGGACGCCGCGAGGAAGCTCGTGGAGATTTTCGCCGGCGGCGGGAACCTCGGGAGGCGCCGCCCGCGCCACCACCGCGGAGGAAGCCACGGAGGAAGCGCTTTTGGTGGCGGCGGCTCGTCGCGGGTGACGTCGCCGGCGCAGTCGCTCGCCGCGGCGACGGAGGCTTTGGAACGCGCAGAAAAACGCCTCGCGAACCTCACCGGTACCGAGCGCTCCGAGGAGAGCACGCCGTCAAAGAGCGGCGCGCGGCGGAAGCTCGCCGTCGCGCCAGACGCGGACGCGGACGTCGCGCACGCGACCGGGAAGGAGTCGCGGTCGGTCGACCGGTCGCCGTCGCCGCCGCCGAGGACGGAGCTCCTCTCCCCGCGTCTGATCGTCCCGATCAAGACCCCGCGGCGGGGCGACGCACCGTACGCGGGCAGCACGCCGGGGAAATACGAGGTCGCGGCAAACCCCGCGGCGGGTACTTACTCCCCGACGCCGCGCGTCACCGCTTCGATCGCGGCCGCCGTCGGTCTGAACGTCTCCACGCCGAGGGAGCTCGCGACGCCGGTCGCGGGGATGGCCCCGGAGAAGGCGAGGAAGACGCTTCGCGCGTACGAGAAGAGAAAGAATGCGCTTCTGAAGTCGTACTCCGCGCTCGAGGCTGCGGAAGGACGCGCCGTGGACGAGCGCGTGCTCTTCGCGTTCATCCAGAACCAGAACCCGACGTCGAGATCGCCGTCGGGCGCGTCGTCGCCCGGCGGCGGCAGACCCGCGAACGTCCCCCCGCTCGCGCTCGACGGCGTCGGCGGCGGCGGGGAGGAGGACGACGCGACGCGCGCGGAACGCCTCCGACTCGAGTGCGCGGTGTTGGAGGGACGGCTGCAGTTCAGGAACGACGACCAGGTCGAGGTACACGAGAGAGCCGCGGAGAGACGCGACGCGCTCGCGGCGAAGCTCGCGTCGATGGACGCGAAGCCGATCGCGTCCAAGTCGGCGACGGCGAAGAGAGACGCGCTCGCCGCGGAGGTCGACGCCGCCGCGGCGACCGCGGAGCGCGAGCGCGCGAAGATGGAGCGGATATCGTCCATCGTCGAGGACGGCGAGATGAGTAAGCGACAGAAGAGGACGAAGAAGAGCATCTGGCACTTCACCGTGACGGTCAAGCGACGCGCGTTGCTCGCGTGGTTGCAAGCGTTGGACGACGCGCATCGGATGCGACGCGCGGCGCGGAAGCTCACCGCGAAGGGGCATCTGAAGACGCAATCTCTCGCGTTCGAGACGTGGCTCGAGTTCTGGCGCGTCGCGAAAGAAGAGAAGATTCGAAGAAGGGTCGAAGAGCTCGAGCGCCGCGCCGCGGCCGCGGAGGAGGAGGAGGCGAGAGCCGCGGAGGCGGCGGCGGCGGCGAGGGAAAAGTCCGTCGGCGTCGCCGCGAGAATCGCCGCCGCGGAGGAGCGGGAGACGGAGGCGAGGAAGAAGATCGGCGGCGAGTACGGAAGCGCGACGAGCTTCCGCGAGAAGTCCAAGGCGTTTCGCAGGAACGACGTGAAGCGCGACGCGCCAAAGTGAGTAGTGAGGTCAGGTTCAGTTAGTAGTCTCTTGATATTACCGACCGAGACCGACCGACTCGACTCAACTCAACATCCCCCGAAGGTTGCCCACCGCTTGCGACAGCCCGCGCGCCGCCGCCGACGCGAAGCCACACTGTTCCCTCGTCGCCGCCTCGCACCCTTCCCCTTTCCCCCCGCCGCCGTCCTCCTCGCCCGCCAACGCGTCCCGTAATTCCGGCGGGAAACTCCCGATGAACAAGTCGCCCATCCCGAGCTCGCCGTAGCTCCCGACGTGCGAGATCACCGCCGCGTCGGCGGCGTCGTACCCGTCGAATAAACTCGCCGCGGTGGTCTCCGCGCCGCCGCCCGCACCCCCGCACCCGTTGTCGTCAGTAGTGTTCCCGCGCCCGATACCACCGCGCCCTTGCCCGCCCTTCTCGCTGTCCGCGCTCGAGAGCGTCGACATCGGTATCGGGTCGCCCTCGTACGTGTGATGAATCGGCTCCGCCCATCGGACGTGCTGCTGCGGCGTCGTCGCGCGCCGGCGGCTGAGTTTGTTTCCGAGCGCCGTGGACAGTATGGGCGTCGCGTACGTCGACGACGACGGCGTGCCGGCGGCCGCGCCGGCGACGTTCGCGAGGAGGGTTTTCCCGCCTGGCCCGCCGTTCGGGTTCACGACGCGTCGGCGCGTCGGCGAGTGCGTCGGCGCGTCGTTCTCGCAGTCGTCCGCGGCGGCGGCTGGCGAGACGTAGTCCCTGGACAGCGGATTGACGGACCGCTCCTTGCGCTTCAAGGAGGCGTCCCTCGGCGCGGGCGGCGGCATCGCGGAGCGGACGCTAAGGCGCTGGTTCGCGAGCGAATCGTTTCGTCCCAGCGGCGACGGCGGGGACGTCATCGACGTCGGCGTCGCCGCCGCGGACGGCGGCGGCTTCGCGCGCGCCTTTGGCGTTTTAGGCGTGTTCCCTCCTCCGCCCGCGGTGGATGATTTCGGCGGCCGCCCGCGCGGCTTCGACGCGCTCTTCGGGCTCTTCATCTTCGCCACCGCGGCGGCGTACTTCTCCGGCGCTTTCTGTAACACTTTCACGGACTTCGGGATGAAGTCCGCGACGCAGCGCGCGCACCCGCGCGCGCTGTACCGGCACTTCGAGCATCCCCCGCTCGCGGCGTGCTTCGTCGCCGGCATCGTTCGAGCCGATGATTATTTCCTCCTCCCCACTGTTCTCGAGACGTGCGATGCGCGCCGCGTCGCCCCGCGCGATGCACGCGCGCTCGACGAACGATGCGCGAAGCTCCCCGCGCGCGATGAACGACCGTGCGTCGCCGTGTGCGGGCGAGAGGCGCGCGTCGTGGAGTAGCGCGCGAGACGGAGCCGAGGGTTTAATATTCAAATAAAAAACCGTTGGCACACCCGAGGATCTGGCGGAGCACAGCAGCGCTTTTTCAAAAAGCTCATCAGTGTGACTGAGCCTCTAAAGCGCGACGACGCGCGAGCCGGCGGGCGAGGAAACGCGACGCGCGGTACGATGGAAACGGCGCGCGCGCGATCGACATCGCGCGGCGTGCCTCCCGTGGGTACCCGTCGCGGACGCGCACTTCGCGACGACGCGGCGGGTCTGGCGTCTCGTAAGTTGATGCTCAGCTTTTTGAAAAATACCGTATCGTCGCGCTCGGCGCGTAAGTACACGTAGACAGACTACCGCCGCTTAAAAATCCCACACGTGCTGAAGCGTAAACTCCGGCGTCGCGATCCCCTGCGGCGACAACACCGCCTTCGCGTTCACGTGCCACCCCTTGAACTCCTCCGTGAAGTGATACGTCATCCCCGCCTCGATCTCGCGCGCGACGAACCGCGCGCACAACTTCCCGTCCAGGTTGTGCTGCAGCCGCGCGCGCGCCGACGCCTCCGCCTCCCACGTGTCCGACGTCACCCAGCCTTGCTCGCTGTTGATGACGCCGCCGTTCGCGGAGACGCCGCCGGATCCGTGCGGGCCCGCGTTCTCGTTCGCGACCGCGATCGCGTCGCCAACCTTCGCGGCGACTTCGAACCCCTCGAAGTCGCGGCGCCACGTCGCGAGCCACCGCGGCTGCGGCGGCTCGGCCCGCCCGCCGCCTCTTCCGGAGCGCCCGCTGTTGAAGGACGCCTCGCTGCCGCTCCGGCCGGGGGAGCGTCTTCGGCCCCACGGCGAGCGCGACGCGCTCGCGCTCCGCCCGCGGCCGCCGTCGTTGTTCCACAAACTCCGCCTGGGGGACGCGCGCTTCCGCGGCGTCGACGCGTCGCTGTCGGATTCGCCGTCGACGGATCTCGTCGCGCCCGATCGCGAGTCGACGTCGTCCGTGTCCGCGCCGGAGAGCGACCCGTTCAACCCGCGACCGAACCCGCCGCCGGTGAACGCCTCGATGTCGTCCTCGTACGCCCACCGAGACGCGGTGAAGTCGCCGTACGTCGCGTGCGCGTACCGCACTTCTCCCTCCAGAGACCCGAGGACGCTGCCGTCGTTGCTGACGCTGTACCGCGCGTCCCACTCGACGCCGTCGTCGGTGACGCCGTCCATCTCGAGCTGAGGGTTCCACCGCGTGTTTTTGTTGAACAAGAACGGCGGGTCCGGGGAGACGACGAGCGTCGGCGCGCCGCTGATGCCGAGGAGTTCGCTCAGATCAACGCTCAGACGCGTCGTCGTCGTGTCCTTCGGATTGAGCGGCTTGAACTCGCACCTCGCGTTGACGCCCGGGCAGAAGCTCTCGGGGGTCGAGACTTCGACTTTGGCGTTGTGGATGTCCGGGAACGCGCCGCGGAATCGGCCGGGCGCGCCGAAGAAGCGGAACCGCGCGTCCGTGTTCGACTTGTACGTGTTGCAGTGCACCTTCTCCTCCACGGACTCCAGACGGAACATCTCGCTTCGGTTGATGCTGCGCTTCAGGCCGTTCATGATCTGCTGCGGAGGCGGCGACGAGAGCTGGTACGAGAGGTCCGACTCCAAGCTTCGCTTCTCCGCTTCTAAGCGATCGACGGTGCCTTGGAGTCGGCCGATCTCGTGCGCTTGCGCGCGGAGTTGCCGCTGCGGTGGGTGGAAGGGTGGGCGTCGGTCAGCGACGAGGAGGCGAGGCGAAAGAACGAACAAAGAACAAACGCGCCCGCCGCGAGAGGCGAAAGATCGTCGATCAACATCTTTTCGAACTAGACGCGGAAGGGCGCGACGGGAGCCGCGACGCGCGCGATCGCGGCCGCGATCGGGACGCACCTGCAGCAGCGCGACCGTCTCCTGCATTTGATCGTCCTGGTCGCGCCTGAACATGGCGCGCGCGCGTGCGTCGCGGAAGCGGAAGCGCGAGAGGACTGCCGACGCCCCGGACAGGCGCAACGTTCTGAATGCACAGCTGTGCCAACTCGTCAACTGGTATCGAAGCTGCTTCGTTTTCCCAGCTGCTGACTCAGATGCTCGGACCTGACCGTATCGCCCGAACCTCGTCACTCGACGACGCGCGGACGACGCGAACGCCGCGCGCGAGCGTTCAAAAGAAGGTCATCGCGCCTCTCACGCCGTCGCGCGTCGTTTCCCAGGGCACCGCCCCTCGAAGGTCGAGATGTTCGCCGCGCTCGCGCCGCCGCCGACGGCGCCGACGACCGCGCGAAGGATGATGTCATTTTCATCATCTTCCCTAGTTTTTTCTTCGCCTTCAAACTCGCGCGCGAAAGCGTCGCCCCGCGCGAGCTCGAGCTCGAGCCCTCTCCGTCGCGCGAAGCGATGCGGCGCGACCCGAAGGAGTCGATCATCGCGCGCGACGCGAACGCGAACGCGAACGCGCGCGTCCGGCGCCGCAGGAGGCGCCGGCGAAGACGCGATGACGGACGCCATCGCGCGCGCGCACGACATCGCAGCCATCGCGTCCAATAGCTCCTCCCACGACGTCGTGCGCTGGCACTCCCCGTTCGGCCCGGAGCTCCAGTACCTCGCGGCGCACCCGACGCAGACCGCGATCGTCGCCGCGATGCTCGCGTGCGTCGGCGTCTTCGTCCACGTGGCGCGGGAACGCGTCAACGCCCTGAAGGCGGAGTTCCTGAGCGACGGCGTCGACCTCACGCGCGTCGAGGACAGGATAGACACGCTGCAGTACCTGAAGAAGATGCACGAGCGCGGGATGCTACCGCTCGGCCTGGAGGTGTGCGCGATGAAACAAGCGGAGAACGAGGTGTTGTTCTTAGGCCCGGTGGGCGTGGAGAAGTGGCGGGCGTACTATCGCGAGCGAGGGATCGATATCGACGGCGCGGAGGACATGAAACGCGTGCAAAAGTACGTTCGGGATCTGCACTACCTCGAGGGGTGCCTCCTCGAGGTCGACGTCGAGTCGCTGATGCTGTCCGACGGGAACTAGAAAAAGGAGGAGGAGGAGGCGAAGGCGAATATCGAGTCGGACGGGTGGGGGGGGTGTTGTGTGATATCGCGACGATACACCGCACGCCGAAGGGCGAGGCGTCGCGACGCGCGACTCGTGTGCACTCGTCTATAAAAATCGTATTACTGACTCGCTCGCGTCGTCCGTCGCTCGCGTCAATCACAGCGAGTCGATGACCTTGTCGAGCTTCGGCATCTGCCCTAACGCCGCGATCTGCCGCTTCATCTGCAGGATCGTGCTCGTCACGATCAGCATCGACGTGAACCCGACGCTCGTCCCGAACCGCGCGCGCATGAGGTTATCCATGAACGCGCACGCCACGGCGACGGCGCCGAGTAAGATCCCTCCGAAAAAACGCGACCCGCTCTGTAACTCTCCCAAGTATTCGATCGTCTTCTCCCCAGGGCGGACGTTCGGCACGCGCGCGCCTATCTTCACCATGTACTCGCTCACTTCCTTCGGCGTGTCTTGAAGGTCCAGGTACGAGAACCCGAAGACGATTAGGAAGAAGGTGACGTAGTAAAACCACGACGCGTGCGAAAACAAAAACGCGCACGCGGCCTGATACCACCCCGGCGTGTTCATCACGCCCGCGAGCCACGTCATGCCTTCGCACAAGAACACGGCCACGAGCACGGGCTGCATCCCGAGCGGGTTCACCTTGAACGGGATGTGATCGATCTCCGATCGCACGACCCTCGGCAACCCCGGTATGGACGGCCCTTGAAAGTACAGCAGCGGCACCTTACACGTCCCCGTCTGCACGAGCACGGAGCCCGCGGTCAGCGCGACCGCGGCGAGGACCCACGGCATAAATTGCGCGATCGCGATCGACCCAAAGTACGACGTGAGGTAATACGACGCGGCTTTAAAGTACGCGCCGCACACGCTCATCGTGATCAACATCGAGGTGCCGTTTCCCAAGCCGTAGTTGGTCATCTCGTCCGCGAGCCACGTCACGACGATCGCGCCGCAGATGAACGCGGGCACCGCGTGCCAAAAGTACCCGCTCAACGGCCCGCCGACGTAGTACGGCCGCAGCTCGTTCGCGGTGAGGATGGACTGAAATATCGCGACGACGAACGTCAGGTACCGCGTGTACTGTTTCACCGTCTGCTGCCCGATCGGATCCTTCGTGAGCTCCTTCAACGACGGGACGACGGCGACCATCACCTGCATCGCGATCGACGCGCCGATGTACGGGCCGATGCCGACGTGGAAGAACGGTATCCCGGGGGTTATGGGTTCGGTGGCGAACAGGGTCCCTGTGCCGAGACCGAGACCGAAGTCGAGAGAGAGACCGCCGACGCCCGCGCTCGCGGCTTCCGCGGGGACGAGCCCGCTGAGGAATTTCGAAAACACGTTCGCGCCGACGTCCCCGCCCGCGTCGCCGACGTCGTACATCCGCATCGGCATCTCCGTGCCGAGGCGAACGACGAGGATGTACTTCAGGAGGTTCAGGAACCGCGCGGCGACGTCGTTCGTGGGCTCGTTCGACGCGTCTCGAAGCGCGCGTCGCTCGCCGATCGAGCCGCCGTCCGCGAAGGCGTTGATCTCGTCCATGGCCGCGGGGGATCCCTCGGTCGTCGCGGCCGCGGATGGGTCTCCCGCGGACGGGGTTCCGAACTCGTCCTCGTCCGCCCCGACGCCCATGTCGCGGTACACCTTCCGCGTCGCGTCGTCGTTCGAGGACGACGCGCCGCGGCGGACGGCGCCGCCGCGTCGCGAGGATCGAACCGACGTCGACGCGAGCGCGGGGGAGGAGCGAACCCGGCGGGCGACGCACGCGCGCGAGGAGGAGGAGGTGGAGGTCGCGCGCGCGCCTCCGCGGGGACAAGCCACCGCGGGCACCGCGACCGCGGACATCACGTCGAGCGTTCTACAGCACGACGGCGGTGCGCGTCGCGTGTGTCGGAGGATGAGGTTAGTTTCGAGGAATAAAGGACAGTGTTTCAAAAGCCGCGACGCGACTGCGCGGCACTTTTGGCCGAATAAGGCTATCATATCACGTATCCGGGCATGCGATATCTTAGTCCTGACGTCTTCGCTTCGTAATCATCGATAAGGGTACTCTTACATGAAACTACACGCTCAAAACCACACCGCGTCGTCGCCCCCGCCCCCCGTGTCGTGCTCCCAGTCGTCGACGTCGTACCCAAAGTCCGCGTCGTGGTGCACGCCCCACTCGTCCACGGGCATCTCCCACTCGTCGACCAACGCGTACACCTGCGCGCTCCTGCTCGGGACGTACAGGCACACGCCCGTGCCCTGCCAGTCGCACATCCCGCCCTCGGTGCACGGCTCCGCGTTCTCGTCGATCCGGCCCCAGCCGCCGTATTTTTTCGCATCCGTGTCGAGGACGAGTCTGTACCGCCCCGCGTGCGCGCTGCCGACTTTGTAGTACGGGTAACTCTCGTGCGGGTGCAAGTTTGCGACGACGAGGTTACTGCCGCAGTGGAACGCGAGGACGCCGCTGTCGTCCTTGCAGTGGAACACGTGCGGCATCGCGCCGTTCCTGTTGGCGATCATCAGTCCGTTTTCTTCGTCGCACTTCATCAACGCGCCGTCGAAGGCGTTGAGGTCTTTGTAGTACAAGTTGTCGTCATCGCGCAGGCTCCACTGCCGTCGCGCGTGGTGGAACGAGTTCGCGTTCCCCTCCCGCGGGAAGTCCACCCACTCCGGGTGCCCGAACTCGTTCCCCATGAAGTTCAGCCAAGCTTCGCCGCCGGCGGCGAGGGTGAGAAGCCGCGCGATCTTATGCAACGCGACGCCGCGTTCGATCGCCGGATGAATCGGGTCGGCGTGCTTGTTCATGCCCTCGTACATCGCCGCGTCCATGAGCGTGAACGCGAACGTCTTGTCGCCGACGAGGCACTGGTCGTGCGACTCCAAGTACGCGACCGCGGGCTCGGAGTTCCGCCCTAAGATCAACCCCGCGACGCGGCTCGGCGTCCAGTTGAAGTCCGGCTCGTGCGCGAGCTTCGACCAGTGATCCGGCGGCCCCATGGACAGCCTCAGGTCGAAGCCTAACCCGCCGTGCCACACCGGTCGACACACGCCCGTCTGACCGCTCACGTCCTCCGCGACCGTCGTCACCGCGGGTCCGTGTGGGGTACCGCGCAGAAGCTCGTTCGCGAGCATGAGATAGACGCACGCGTCCTCGTCCGCGTGATGGCCGTACATCTCGTCGTGGCCGCCTAAAAAGTCCCAGTGCACGCCGCGGTGTTTGTACAGCATCGCGGTCACGCCGTCGAACCTGAACCCGTCGAACTTGTACTCCTCGCTCCAGAACCGCACGTTCGAGAGCAAGAACCGCAGGGTCTCGTACCGGCCGTAGTCGAACATGCGCGTGCCCCACAACGCGTGCCAAGACAAGTTCGGGTCCTCGTGGAACAGGTGCCCTTGCGTGCCGTCGAACTCGTTGAGGCCGTCGATCGTGTTATCGCTCGCGTGCGCGTGCACGAGGTCCATGAGCACTTGAAGCCCCAGACCGTGCGCGGTGTCGACGAGGTACTTCAAGTCTTCCGGGGAGCCGCTCCTGTGCGCGACGGCGAAAAAGTTTGTGATTTGATACCCGAAGCACGCGTAATACGCGTGATCCGCGACCGCCATGAGCTGCACGGTGTTGTACCCCAGCTCCGCGATCTTCGGCAGGACGTCGTCCGCGAACTCGCGGTACGTCCCGCAGCGGCCTTCCTCGCTGGACATCCCGACGTGGGCTTCGTAAATGCGCAGCCCCGCGGCGGGTTTGCGCTCCGGCTTTTCGTGCCGCCACGCGTGCCTCTCCGACTCCGGCGGGTCGTGGAACACGCCGTTGTGATAGTCCAGGTTGCACCCGTCGTTCGTGCACGGCGCGATCGCGCGTATCCACGCCGGTATGCGGTCGAACACCCTTCCGTCGCCCGTCTCCATCACGACTCGGATCTGATCGCCGTGCTTCGGCGCCTTCTCCTTCGGAACGATCAGACTCCACCGCCCGAATTCGTCCTTCTCGCCGCAGTGCTCGAACGGCGTCCAGTCGTTGAAGTCGCCCATGAGCGCGAGCCTCGTCGCGCCGGGGGCGAACTCGACGTACGACACGTCCCCGTTCGCGAGTCTGTGCACGCCGTACGTCTCGTACGAGTCCGCGAACGCCTGAATGCTCCCTTCGTTCCGTTCGATCTCGTCGTATCGATGTTCGAAGCGCTTGTACCGCCCCAAGAGGAGGTGCTCGTACGGCTTCAAGCTCGGCTCGTTCCTGCACAGCGCGAGCATGTCGTTTATCGGACGCATCCGCGGCGGGCGCGTCCACGTCGTGGCTTCGGCTTCGGCTTCGGCTTCGGCTTCGGCTTCGGCTTCGGCTTCGGCTTCGTTCGCGGAGGAGTCGGCGGCGGCGGCGGCGGACGAGGACGCCGAGGACTCTTTCATGCCCGCGTCATTTTTCGCGGTGTTTGCCGATTTCGTCGCCGCGTCCGTCGTCGTCGTCGTCGTCGTCTCCGAGGACGCCTCCGCGCGCGGTCGCACGACCGCGGCGCGACGACGACCGCGAGCGGCGCGGGGGGAGGGCGTCGCCCTCGACGGGGCGACGAAGCTCGCGCGCGCGACCGCGGCCATGGTCGAGCGCTCCAGGCGAGTGATGAGAATCCGAATGGCTGCCAACGCGGCGTGCGTTAGCGGGCGAAATTCCCCGTCGAGTGCCACGCGAGCAGGCTAGGAGACTGCCCCATAACCTGATCTATCTTCGAGCCTGTACTGTATCAGGTTATGGGGGTCTGATTTCAAGGGCTGTGAATCGACGGCGCGGACGCGGGAAGAGCCGCAAGTGCCTTCTCCGCCGCGTCGTCATAAGCGAGCGCGCGGCAGAGACGCCACGCCTCCACGACGATGAGCGCGTAAACGAAGCTCCTCTCGAAGACGTTAGGAGTGACGACATCAATCAACGAAACAGCACGCACAGGCACGCGACGCGAAGCAGAAGCTCGCGCGTAATCAACGCACAGGTGCGGCGCGTCTCCCCGTCTCTCCCGCTCGCTCCGGACGCGGCCACGAGGCGGCCGATCGCGCGCGAGATCGCGCGCGCGTCGATCGCGGCTCGAGCGCGTCGCGCGCGCGAACGCGTCGCGACGCTCGCGCGCGCGCGTCGCGAGTCGTATCTCGTCGCGTCGTGGCCCGCGGCGGGGATTCCATCGCGCCCGCGGCGTCGCGACCGCCGCGCTTCCACGCCGCCGCCGCGCGGTTGACTCGCGCGCGATCGCGCCTCCCGCGCGCCGATCTCGCAATCCATCTCCGATCGCGGTCGCCGCGCGCATCACGACTCACCGCTCCGTCCCGCGCGTCGTCCCCAACTCGCAGGCGACACACGCCACCAGTATATGACAAAGAACCACGCGGGCGACGCGCCGGTGAGCGGTTCGAACGCGGAAGGGAAGCGACCGCCGGCGCCAAAGATGGGCGTGGAGGAGGGCGCGTTTGCGCGGATGAACATAAACGCCGACGGCGCGGGCGTGAAATCGAACGGCAAGGGGATCCCCGCGCCGAACGCGCTTCCGGTGCCGCTGCCGAACGGCGACCGCGGCGGCGGCGCGAAGGGAGGACGGAACAACAGACGCGGCGGGAAGGGCGGCGGCGGCGGCGGCGGCGACAAAAACGCTACTTCGGCTTCGGCCCCCGGCGGCGGCGGCAGCGGCGACGGCGACGACGCGGCGAAAGAGTCCGCCGGCCGCGCGCCGCGCGCGCCGCGCCCGAAGCGCGAGCAGAAGCCGCGCGAACCGCGCGGCGGCGACGACGCGACCGGCGACGCGAGGCCGAAGCCGAGGATGCCGTCGCCGAAGCCGGCGGCGAACGCGAAGGCTGGCGGCGGCGCGGCGCCGGCGCCGAACGCGCCGCCGACGCCGGTGGGGGCGTACACGCCGCCGGGAGCGCGCGAGCGCGACGCCGCCGCGGCGAGGACGCCGCCGCCGGTGCCGGTGGAGGATAAGCGCCCGGCGAAGGGGCTGATTCCGCTGCCGAAGGGGCACCCCGCGCTGGGTGGGGAATCCGCGGGCGACGGCGAGAAAGCGGCTGCGGGTTCCCCCGCGCCCGCGCCCGCGCCCGAGAAGGGCCGCCGCGCGGCGAAGAAAGACAAGCCGCTCGCGGAGTCCACGAACGGCGCCGCGGTCGGGGACGACGCGCCCGAGAAGTCCGAGTCGCGCCCGCCGGAAGAGAAGAGGAAACTGTCCAAAAAAGAGAAGCGGATCGAAGCGCACGCGAGCGGCGAGACGTTGAAGAAGGAAAAAGAGGCCGCGAAACCCAAAGAGAGGAAGCCGAAACCGTCTGACGACGGCGCGGCGTCCATCCCGAGAGCGCTCGCCGCGCAGGTTGGGAAGGAGATCAGGAGGCTCGTGGAGGGCGGCGACATGGAGGGGGCGTTGGACGTGTTCCACGAAAACGCGAAGAAGAACGCGATCGACGTGGACACCGCGCGAGCGTTACTCCACGGCCTCGTCCGCGCGGTGAGGCTTCACGAAGCCTGCGACGTCGCGGATCACCTGAAGAACCGAGGGATCAAGATTCCGCTGAAGCACTTCACGACCGTGGTGCTCGCGTTGTCGCAACGCGCGAACCCGATGGACGCGCTCGACCTCCTGAACGCGCTCGAGCCGTGCATAAACTACGAATCCAAGGCGATTCACTGCTACCACTTTCACTTCCTGAAGCTCATCGTGCAGGAGTTTCTCGAGGAGGCGCTTCAGACGCTCGATCGCGTCGCGAACGCCCCCGCGTTTGGGCTACAGGAGAACGGCCTCGCGGCGATGGACGTCGTGATTCGAACGTCGCAACGCGGCGGGCAGCTGTCGCTTCAAGTTCCCGCGCTCGCGGAGGAGCTGAACCGCGGTCTGATGAAGGGCGACACGGTGCTTCTGTCGCGGACCGGCGAGGCTGCGAGGCAGACGGGCCTCGGGGAGATGCCCACCGGCCCGAGAGGGGGCAGCGACGTGGATTTGCAAAACCTCGAGATGCCCACCGGCCCGCGGACGGACGGCGCCGAGCGCGGCCGCGGCGACCGCCGCGGCGGCGGCGGCGGCTGGCGCGCGGATTACGAGTTCGAAGCCGAAGTCAGCACGATGTACCCCAACCTCAGCGTGAAGCTCATCGGGTGCACGCCCGCGCAAGCGTCCTCCGTCAGAGGCGGCGGGTGGAGGGTGGACAAGCTCGCGAACCGAACGTCGTTCATTCGCCAGCTCAACGCGCTTCAGAACATGGTCGAAGTCAAGGCGGGGACGTCCCAGAAAGACGGCGTGGATCCGGCGATTCGGGACATTCTCGTCGCGGGGTGGGACGGGAACAAGTCGGAGTCGAACCGCGTCCGCGAGATGTGCGCCGCGGAGAAGAACCAAGGGATGCACGCGATTCAGCGCCAGAAAATCTTAGACCAAGCGATGGACGTTCAGGCGATGAGCCACATGAACAAGTCGCAGACGGACGCCCTCGAGGCTGCGCTCTTCCAGCGCGTGACGCTCATTCAAGGCCCTCCGGGCACGGGGAAGACGCACACCGCGGTGGCGCTCGTGCAGATGTGGCTTCGCTCCGGCATCGGCCCGGTGCTGTGCACGTCGGATTCCAACATCGCGGTCGACAACCTCGTCGACGGTTTATCCCGAGCCGGCGTGCGCGTCGCGCGCATCGGCCGCCCGGAGGCGGTCCGCCAGGACCTCATGCAGTACATGGTGGAGTCCATCGCCGGGATCGAGCCTGGGTGTACGTGGAGCAAAGATCAGCAGTACCAAGCCATCAACGGCGTGCTTCGACGCGCGGACGTGATTTGCGCGACGTGCGCGGGCGCGGGGTCGGACATCCTCGAGAGGTTCTCCTTCCAGGCGTGCCTCATCGACGAAGCGACGCAAGCGACGGAGCCCGCGACGGTCGTGCCGCTCACGAAGGGCTGCTCGCAGGTTGTCCTCATCGGCGATCAAAAGCAGCTGCCGCCGACGATCATCTCCCGCGAGGCGGACGCCGCCGGGCTCGGAAAGTCCCTCTTCGAGCGGATGCTCTCGCGCGGGATCAAGACGTTCATGCTGAAGGTGCAGTACCGCATGCACCCCGCGATCGCGACGTTCCCGTCCAAGGCGTTCTACAAGAACGAGCTCTTGTCCGGGACGCCCCCGAGCGCGCGCAGAGCGCCGATGGGGTTCGACTGGCCCGTCCCCGCGGTGCCGATGGCGTTCGTCGACGTCCCGGAGGGGTACGAGCGATCGGACGGGTCTTCACAGACGAACCCGGTCGAGGCGCAGAAGATTGTCAACATCGTGAAGAAGCTGTGCCAAGGCCACGACGTCCTTCCCGCGGACATCGGGATCGTGTCTCCGTACAGCGCGCAAGTGCGAGCGATCGAGAGGCTGCTGAACGGGAACCAGCTGAAGCGTCGGTCGCGTTTCGACGCGCCGCCCCCGCCGGATTCACTCCAAGCCCTCGAGGTGTGCTCCGTCGACGGGTTCCAAGGACGCGAGAAGGAGGTGATCGTGTTCACGTGCACGCGCGCGAACATGAACGGCAACGTCGGCTTCTTGGCGGACCCGCGCCGCGTGAACGTCATGCTGACGCGCGCGAGGAGAGGCCTCATTATCGTCGGGCACATGCCGACGCTTCGAAGGGAGCCGACGGTGTGGGGTCCGTGGCTCGCGTGGGCTGGGGAAAACGGTCTCATCTGCGGCGCCGCGGCGACGGACGCGGAGGCGGCGAACCGACTCGCGACGATGGGGATGAGCTCCCTGGACGAGATTGGCGGGCGAGGCGCGGGGGAGACCTTCCAGATGGGGGCTTTGATGTCGCCGTCGATGGCGGGGTGGGGCGGCGGCGGCGACGGCGGCGGCGAGCCAATCGACGAAGGGCCGAAGCTGAAGGAGCGGGCGTTCATCCCGGACGCGTGGGACGACAGCGGCAGCGAGGACGGGAGCGACGACGAGACCGAGACGGACGTCACGACGGAGACGGAGAGCGCGACGGTGAAGGGGTCGACGAACTCGCTCGCGGGGATGGCGGATCAAGCCTGGCACTCCGACGACGACGACGCGTGAGCTCGTTTCGTCGCGTCCGGGGGGGGACCCTGTCTGGGTAATACACGACAGCGCGAGTCGGGTTGAACGCATCGCCGTCGATGTCAACCCGAGCGCTGTGAAAAAAAAAAAAAAACGTTCAGTGTATCGTTGGATATGTGGTGGAACGTGAAAGTTTACAGTTTAGAAAGGCTCGAGCGCGTGCGCTCGACGTCGAGAATTCTATTTTCGCCCGTGGGCCCGCGGCGGTGTTTCTTAACCACCCCGGCGCCGACTCTTGTGATGCGAAAGACGAGCGATTCTTTAACACGGTCATCTCAACCCTCGACGCGCCCGCGCCATCGATTCACGGGCGTGTCCCCTTCCTCGCCGCCCGCGCGCAGACTTCTCTTCGCGTCGTTGTACGCCGTCGCCGCATATTTCGCTTCCTCGTACGACATCCCCGCGGCGCCGTCGCCGTCGCCGTCGCGGCGACGCGCGAACGCGTCGTCGACGAAATTCCCGATACCTTCGCGCGCGAGCACCCGCGCGAACGACTCGAACAGCGCCTCGCCGCACACCGCGGGGTGCGCCCCGAGCCCGCCGATCGGCCCGCCCGTCCTCCCGTCGTGCCTCGCCACGCGCGCGTCCCCTCTCGCCCAGCTCAAACTCTCGTCCCCGTCCCCCGCGTCCGCCCTCGACTTGTCCCCGATGGCGTCGCCGTGCTTCGCCGCGCCGATCGACTCCCCTCGACCGCGACCGCGCGCGCTCACCCCGAGCGCGCGCGCGTGCGTCGGCACCGGCCACGCGCTCGGCCGCTCGGTCCACCCTATCGAGCGGCAGCACGTCCCGAGACGCAGACGCGTCGGGTCAAACTTTCTCCCGACGACGATCGTCGAAAACGCCATCGGCGCCGGGACGAAATGCGACAGCAACGCGCCCTGCAGACCCACCGCCTGCCACCGCGCGATCTTGTCCGAGCACGACAGCGCCCGCCCGGGGGTTCCGCACGCCGCGGCGAGACCGCCGGGCGCCCACACGCACCCGGGCGCGGGCGCGGGCGGGTCGCCGACGCGCGCGGCGCCCTTGATCATCGCGCCGCAGACGACGGAGGGCGCGAAGACGACGTGCCGCCGCGCCGCCGCGTCTTTCCACGCCGGGGAGTCGACAGGGGTCCACGACTCCAGGTCGTCGACGTCGCGTCCGAACGACGCGCCGCCCGCGACGCCGCCGCCTCCCGGCATGGACGCCGCGCCGCACGGCGCGGTGGAGACGTAGAGATGAAGCGACGTCGACGGTCGCAATCGGAACCCGAGCGCGGGCGCGTCGACGCGTTCCAGAAGTTTGAACCCGTCGGCGTCGTCGTCGGCGGCGCCCGCGACGAGGTCTTCGATCTCGCGGTACAGCAGTCGCATCAGCGCCCGTCGCGCGAGCACCTCCGCGTGGGAGTCGTGCACGACGGACCGCCAGCGATCATTACCCGCGGCGTGCGCGGCGGCGGCGACCGCGGGGGGAAGAAACTTGGTCCCGACGCCGAGCGACACGACTTTCAACGAATCGTCGCCGCCGCCGTGGTCCGGGTCGCTCGAGATCGCTTCACGCGCGAGGATCGCGGCTATGACGGGCACGCCGCGCGCGTTCGCCGCGTGCGTCGGGCATCGCGCGCGGTACGTCGCGTTCGCGAGCGCGGCGACGCGGTCGGCGAACGTGGTGGACCCCGCCGCCGTCGTCGTCGCCGCCGCCGCATTAGCCGCCGCGTCTTCCTTTTCCCTCAGCGTCCGCGCGTTCTCGCGCTCGACGACCTCACACACGCCCTCGTCCGCGGCCGCGGCGTTGCGCGCGGCGACCGCGTACGCCTCTCGCAGCGTGTCATCCGAGATGCCGTCGTTCCCGTGCAGCCACAGCCGCTGAATCCCCCCCGCGGGCCCGGGCGCGTCGTCGTCGCTCTCCCGGCTTTTCATCGCGTCGAGAAGCGCCTTCGCCCCCGCCTCGCCGACGCCGTTGTGGTCCACGTGCAGCTCCACGAGGTTCGGATGCGTCCGAACGACGCGCGCGATCGCGACGCACCCGTCGTCGCCGAGCGCGTTCCCGCCGAGGTCGAGCGCTTTCGTCGTGCTCGGCAAGCGCTTTGCGATCGCGGCGGCGCCCTTCGGACCGATGGCGTTGCTATACGCCGCGATCTCTTCCAACGGCGCGCCCCCTCTCGCGAACGCCTCCGCGAGCGCGACGGCGCCGAGGTCGCCGATGCCGTTGTGATGCACGCCGAGATGCGTCATCGCTCGCGTCGTCGCGCACGGAATCGCGAGCAAGTTGGCGACTTCGATCGCGCCGGCGTCGCCTAACCCGCGGTCGGACACGGACTTCAACGCGTCTTTCTTTTCCCCGCCGCCGCCGCCGCGAGCTTCCGACGACACGAGGTGGTTGACCGCGACGCGCCCGGCGAACGTTCGCGCGGCGTCGCCGTCGGCGTCGACGTTGCCGGCGACGTTCACCGATCGCAGCGTGTCGTTCGTTTTCATCGCCTCCGCGAGCGCGATGAACCCGTACCGCGTGATCGCGTTCTCGGACACGTCCAGACCGACGAGCGCGGCGTCGGCGTCGACGTTTTCGTTCTCGGCGGCGAGAAACGCCGCCAACGCGCGCGCGTCGTCGTCGTCCAACCCGCGCCGTCTCAGCGTGCACCGCCCGCCGTTCGCCGCGGACGCGCTTCGAATCTCCATCACGAGCGCTGCGCCGCGGTTCTTCGCGAGCGCGTCTCGAAGCGCGTCCGCGGCGTCTCGCGACACGTCCGGGTTATTCCCCACGGGCGCCTCGGGGTCGTTCCGCGCGAAGCGACGTCGGGGCGGAGTTGAAAGGCGTCACCAGTCGGAGTTGAAAGGCGTCGAGGGCGGGGATGCAAAGCGAGGGACCCTGGGCGGAGAGATGCGCCGGGAAGTAAAGTACTCAAGGAAATGCGTGCACCGCGCGAACGCGGTCGCGTGGGGACCAGCGTGAGGAGAACGCACCTCGATCAGCGACGACGCGCGTCCGTCGTCTCTCGCGCTCGTCGCCGTCGCCGCTCGCGTCAACGCGTCGCACCCCGCCGTCGTGATCCCGTTCGACCGCAAGTTCACGCACCGCAGCGACGCGCAGCAGCGCGTCGTCCCAATCCCCCCCTCGCCTTCTCCTCCTTCACCTCCCGTCAGCGCGTCCGCGAGCGCGCGCGCGGTGACGTCCGTGACGCCGCACCCGCTGAGGTTGAGCCGCGCGAGCGTCGAGCGGGGCGTCGACGCGATCGCGCGAATCGTCGCCGTCGCGCCGGCGTCGCCGACGCGCGGGTTGTCCGCGAGGCTGAGCTCTCGGAGTCGGCACGCGGGGTCGGAGAGGAGCGCGGCGACGTGCGCGGCGCCGGCGGCGCAGATGTTCGCGGACGCCTGCGCGCGCGGAGGCGGGGGAGGGTGAGGTGAGGAGGGAACGCGGCGGATTCGGAGTGGGCACCCGAGAGGAGGGAGGCCTGGGACGGGCCGCGGCGATCGATCCGAGACGGCGCACCAGGTTGAGCGTCGTCGTCGCTTCGCCGCCGCCGTCCGCGGCGTCGTCGTCGTCGTCGCCG